TGATGTCAGTTCTTTTTTTTGGCTCTTCTCTCTGTGTAAAGATTCTCTGGCTCAGATATTAGTGCTCTGTCAGATTTAATCTGCTCTCTATTGTATAAGGAGAAGTTCGAGAGGCATCTGATGTTATGTCAGTGTAGGTGGAATCCTTTCCATGGTCCCTTCGTAATCGCAATTTTTCCGATGCTTAAGTCCTTTGTGTTAGAGCTCATATTCTGGTAATAGAATACGAATCCCTTTGTGGGAGCAGCTTACATCTCACTCACAAACAGTGCTTTGCCTTTTGCAGTGTGTAGTGTGTCAGCTTTTTCTGCCAATTCTGCACAACACAACCATCCCTATTAAGGGAGAATAACAGCAACCCCCATGTCGAACACAAAGGCCGGAGAAGCTGCTGTTGTTTACTAAATGTAAGCGGCTGTCACTGTTGTTTTTCTTTTTCTTATTTTTTCTTTTTGTTGCGTTATCTTATACTGATAAAAACCCTCTGTGGAGAAGAGCGTGGTAGCATAGCTTGTATTGTTAAACGACACAAATAAACTTGAATAAAGCATGATCCCATTTGATTGGTTGTTGGTTGATTGTTTTTTTTAGTCTTAAACCGTTTCTTGGAAAAGAGAAAGTGCTGTTCAGCAGTTTTGCTCAGGCCTCATCTCCTGTTGATTTTGTGACCTCCTTTCATACTTTTCTTTCACTGGGTCATGTTCAGATGATTGACCTTTTTGTGGGTAATTGGCCTTTGTGTGGCTCTTGCTTGTATTGTCCCTGACAGTTGATACAGATTTATTATGATGCCGGTTCATATCTTTATTCCAAACTCTTTTAAATGTAACCCAAAGTATTCACTGTTTCATTTTTTATTCATCAAAGAGATTGTTTGGAATCTATAAGTACCAAAAAGTTCCTTCACAGGAAGAAGCGGAATTCGATCTGTTTCCAATTTATTTTTCTTTTACCGTGTCTCATGAGAAAAACGTGTCAAATCTTCAACCATTAGGTCTTTAAATGATCATTTTCCACTGTAGTACCAATGAATGGAAAAATAATATAATGAAACGGGGGTTCAAAAATGACTCATGAGAGTTGCTGATCAGTAGGCAATGTAGTGGAGGCAGAAACAAAAGAGAATCGTTTTATTCAGATGTAGTCATTCATTTGAGATCTGCTTTGACCACTCATGTTGACCTCACAAAAAAAGAGTCAGAAAAGGTTTTATAAGACTGCCTGAGTAGCATGTATCAAGATTTTTTTTTCTCATTTAATCCCTCTTTTGTCATTATCTGTCTTTTTTCTATTTATCAGTTTATTTGTTCCCAGCCAGAATTATTTGTAAAAATCTATTCGCAGATTTTTAATAAGTTTTGAACAGAACTGGGTCATTTTCAAATTCAGAAAGGGGTAACTTTGTTAACCAGATCTGGATCACCCATTTACTTTTTAAATTAAGTATTGTCAGAGATAAGAACTTGAGTACAATTTGCAAACTTTTAAACTCAAATATCAGATACAGATGAAGCCTACATTCCTTACTTTCTGCGTCATTATTTTGTCTATAACCTCACATATCACCACACTCATCATTGAGAAATGATCATTAAAGGACAGATTACCTTTTATTTGACTTCTCTCAGATTTTAAGATCACTTTCCCTGCTTTGAAGCACACAGAAAGTGTTGGAAATGACTGAAGGAACACACTTTTCTATTTACAGATCCCCCCTTTTTTAAATAAAAACTCTGTTAATATTTAGAATGATCTCCAAAAGCTTATGAATTATGCATTTGATTATAATACTTAATTCATCTTATCCCCCCTCTGAACCACGCATGCTCTAACTTCAAAGTTAATGTAAGCAACTCTTTCCAGCTAAAACATTTTTTTTTTTTTAAAGGAAAAAATCATGTGTCCTCTGCTATGTCCTAAGAAGTGGACGGACACAATTAGCAACAATGGGCATATCTAGAAAAGATTCAAAGGTCAGATTCTTCTCTCAGGAGATGGTAATGATAGAAGAGTAAAAGTAAAAGAGAGTAGATGTTTTACTTACAAACACTACATGATAGAAGCAGGTTGTGCAGGTTGAGACATTGCTGAACGACAGTACTTGTTGTGCCTTTTGACCACGGAGGCAGAACAGTTGGGTACTGTATGTACTTTAGATGTGTGCCCACATTTTGACTCACGGCCATCAGCGGCAGCCGGAGGAGAGGACATACTTGAATCGATGTTCTCACCACATGCATGACAATAGGTCAGTGTTCACTCCGCTCTGCATAGTACAACACCCTGAAGTCTTCTGATCACTGCGAGCAGAGTAGGGCTTTTTCATCATCAGATTAAGCCGTGCAGCGCATGCAGATCTTTGATGAAGCCACCTTTACGTTTTAATCGAACTGTTACAATGTGCACGAGCTGGCACAAACTGGTTGAAGTACAAAGTGGACACATTTAAAAAAAATGTTTTTTAAAGTTATGTTTTGTGGTTTTGAAAGATATTAATATGGTACATAAGTCTGACAGTTTAAAAAAGTTTAAGATTTACTTTAAGAATTAAGATAAGGAAATTGAAATTATTTTACACAAAAGTCATTGTTGTCTAGACAGTTATCCAAGACCAAGCTGGAAGAGCATCAAAAGCCCACTGAAAATGAGCCTCATTCAATGTTTTTACAGATAAACAAACCTGTGCTTTCGTCATTTCAACATTTTTGGAGGTGAGATGTGGATTGATTTAACATTTACAAAAGCATCAGAACAAAATATTGTCATTGAGAAACCAAGAAATATTTGGAGCAGCTGGAGCTCAGAAATTAAAGCTAATTTTCACATTTAATTATATTTGTTTCCTTTGTTTGGTCAAATCAGGCTAGATCTCATTTGACAGAAAATTTTAAGTTTGCCTCTGAAATAGGTTTGTTTTTTGCTTTGTTTTGTTTAGTTGTTTTTCATTTTTGGTGGGTGTGCTGTTTTAGCCCAGTATATCTGTGCTTTGGGATCAAACGTACATCAGAAATAATTTCCATCAGTATTTATTTCTCTGGTTTCTTGCTGTTCACCACAGCCTCTGAGCTGTCCATTGTTTTCTTAATATTTTGCTACCTGTTGTGATGGCAATATTGTAAATATTATTTTCAACCTAAAGAAGCAAAACGGACATTTTTAGCACTACGTTTGTATTTATAAAGTTCTTTCCTAGTCTAGACATTCCAAGCGATCTTCACCCATTCACACACATCAGTTCTTTTATGTTCAGGACAGTCTTGGCCTTTTCTTTGTCATACACAGGTCTGATGTCTTTACAAGTGAGTTTGACATGTAGGACAAGTAAGCATTACGCCAGCTTGCTGATAGAAATGTGACAGCCAGATTCACAGATGTCCATGTGAATTTTCTCTGCCCGGCTCTGAGTCCAGAATGTAAAATGAGTTGTTTACTTGGGATAGAGTCAGAAGGGGGGAAAAGGAGAGAAACCTAGTTTTATGAGGCTTCAATGTATGTCTTATTCCTGGGAAATAGTTAAAAAAGTGACTGTTGAAAACCACAAAGGAACTTTTTTTAGGGAGCTCAGAGCTCCTGGGATGGAATTCTGCTCTGCTCACCCACTATGAACTCTTACTTTGTGAACCCAGTTAGCCCATGTGTGCAAATGAAATGAATAAAACTTGAAAATAAAATAAAGAAATTCCATCCAGCTGCTTTGTATGCACATTGATTGGCATTTGTGGTCACAGGAGGCCTGGAGCATTTCACAGCTGCTGTTGGATGAGGGGGGGGGGTACACTTTGTGTGGGTCAGCAGTCCATTAGTGGGCCACGCAGTAGCCATGCATGCTCGCACGCAGTCCCAGGGTTAGTTGAGCAACACAAATTAACATTACATTCATGTTTTTGGTTTTGGGTTGGAAGTTGGAATACTCAGAAAGAATCCACATGTATATGGGGCGGGGGACAGCTGGGATCGGAACCAGGAGCGCACCAGCCGAGAGCCAATGGTAGTAAACATCCCAACCCCGTGCAAAATTGATAAATTCATCAAACAATAAACATTTTCTTTGTTCCGTGTAGTAAAGAACCTCGAATTGGCATTGCTCTCAGTTTATAGCCATGAAGGGACTCCATAAAATAAACAGCCTGTGAAATGTCTATCGGGTGGCTTTTTATTGGGCAACTGGAGAGAGGCTGAAGGGATGCGTGTGTAGATGACAGTATTAACTTCATTGCATCTGACATAAAAATAAAAAGGGCTTCTTTACTGTTTCTTCTTCAAATCCAGAAAAACAACTCATGGCACTACATTTCTGACAGGAAACTATTTCATATTAAGGTTTGAAGAAATCACGAGGCTGCAGCAACCAAACATCCACATGAACTTTTGGAAGCTGTAAAACCACCTTTGTTTCCAAGATTTTTTAAAGAATGCACTTTATAGGTGCACAATAACTGTTCAAATAAAATACAGGAAACTGTAAAGTAACCACATGGGGTTGGCAGGGAAAATCCCTCAGTTTCAACTTTGATGGATTTCTTTTTGGATCACATAAACTATGGAAAGATGTGAGGTCATGCATAGCTTTCCCAGGAATAGGCGAGATGGGATGCACTTCTTAAAAATACTTAAAGTAATTCAGGATGGAATTTTCTGCATATCTGTGTCACAAAGTTGACACATTTGGAAAATAAATGGAAATTAAATTTGAATGATGATAAAAACGGTGTGCAGTAATTGTTTAAGACTGTACAAAACCTAAATCATAAGATCTATTAAAGGGTTTCTTTATTTTCGCAGTACTTAAGCTTTTCTGCCAGTTTTAAGTTTTAAATTACACAAATTAGCTTTATAGTTTATTTTTGTATTTCTATGTCACTAGGAAATAACTGAATTACAAAAAAGTACACACATTTCTTCCTTTTCTGATTTTTTATTGATTTATTTTTTCAGTACTGGAGGCCAGCAAGGTGGAAGAAGAGACTCGGTGTCCTCTTGGCCAGTTCCCATGCGGGAACATGAGTGAATGCCTCCCCCAGGCTTTGCAGTGTAACGGGCACAAGGACTGTCCCAACGGAGCTGACGAGTGGCGCTGTGGTAAGTCTGTGTTCTAATCTGTTAATGGTGACACGCACATATGCACCAAAAGAATTCTGATAGCTGAAAATTTGTGATGTTATCCATTCCTATTTTGATTTATCCCAATGAAATAGTCCCACCACGCTTCCATCTATTCTCATAAAAATCTGTTTACAGCTCCGACTGGCTTTACAGAAATTCCAGTGCAGCAGCATAAGCGGGCTATACCCAAATAAACAATAAAAAGCATATAAAACATATAAAAAGAATACATATAAAAAAGAAACATGGATTTGTACTGCTCTAGAGAAACAGAGCGCTTCTGAGAAATGGAGAAAATGCAAATGCTCAATGTCTTTGTGGAAGAAGCCATCTATTTCCCAAAGTTATATCCCTAAGCACTTCTGCCTTCTGGCCTCTTTGCTTTGCGACAAATGAGGGAGACTCAAAGGCTGATAGAACTTTAAGATAAACTACCCAGGCAAACAAGTGCGTCAGCGAGTATCTGAAATAGAAATAACAACCTCACGGGTGACCTGATATCAACATCAGGATATCATTTCTGTTACTGGACCGAAGCTTGTTGCAGTCTTTAGACACAGCTACTGTTAGAGCAGCTATGACAATGCCACAGCAACAAACTCAGGCTCATTTATTGGCTCATGGACTACAAAAATCATCCCGTCAGAGCCTTTTGAAAGAGGTTTGATTTCCAAATCAATCCACTAATACTGGCTTGATGTGTCAAACAGGAGCAAAGGGAACACATTTCAGAGCTGCTCCTCTCAGTCACAGATGAAAAGCCTGATCAGCTGCAGATGAGTGTGCTGTCACTGACATCGAAGCAGGTTTTTGATCAATATGAACCTCTAGAGAGGTGTCATAGGTTGCATCTGTCAGTTTTAAAAGCATTCATTCTTGTCAGTGTATAAAAGTCCCGATTCATTGGTGAAAAGCCATTTGTTTTATCTAGATGCCCAGATAAGAGATTACTACAAAGACCTCTGAATTCAATTCAGTTTCTCATATAATGGAGTTCATGCTGTGGTATATATTTTAATGTAACCAATGTCCTTTTTACATCACCTTTATATTGGTGATGTGAAATGCCAGATTACTTCTGTTTGGGCTTGATAAGTACTGGAAACCAATCAGACAGAATGCTGACTGTGACAGTTTATTTTTTCATTTCGAGCAGCCACAATTTATTTACATTCCTTTCAGCTTTCAGATCCCCGTGTTGCTGGACTGCAATCTTTCTGGATCTTTGACAAATTGTAGTGTGTATTTATAGACACAAATACGGAAGAGGGTGGTCCCTAGGCTTTGTGGCCTTCTGGCTGTGGAAAAGAAAACTACCTCCTAACTGGAGTCAACTTTTTTATGGCTCTATTAGAAGCCAAAGGGGTAATTTGGTCAGCAAGACAGAAAAGAGGCATGGATGAAGGCTAATGCAGTGGCCACAGCACAACTTTTATTTGCTGACTGCCCCTATCTTTTGAGAAAATATCCCTTCACTTTCAAAACAATGAGTGCATATGGTCAGCCGTTCTGGTGGTAGTTTTAGTTCTTCTTCTGGGTGGCATTTTCATGGGATGTTCAACCCTGAGCAGTCTTTGTAAATAAATATGCACTGGCTCTGGTATGATAGCATTAGTGTCCGAATTCAACTTTTTTTTGTTTGTTTGTTCTTTGGCAATACAACTGCTTGTGAGTGTTCTGAAAATGAAACCCTGCATTGCCCTCAAACACTATAGCATTAGTCCTGACTAATAGTAAATGTGTTTTCTTTTTTTTATGGAGATACATCAGTTTGAGTTAAAAAAAAAAAAACATTTCTGGGGTGTGGGCTCATTTTTCATAGCCTGATTAAAAGTGTGCATGTATTAGTCTTTGTCTGAATGTGTTCGTGCCATCTTACTTGTAATTAGAGAGGCGTTTGGGCTTTGTTGGTCCTCATCAGCAGGCCTGTCCTCAGCGCCTTGCTGTGCTTTGCTGCTATTATGAAAAGGAATGCTGAGAAAAAATAAAAACTCTGGGTCTGATTCATGTTTACCACACTTCCCATGGTTGGATCTCCACCCTCTTTCCTTTTTCCACTCTGTTGGTAAAGTTCAAACTCATTAACTGGTGTTTTTCTGGTTACATAGGTGACAACGTCGGATGGGCAGATTTAATGGGTGAAAAACTTCTAAACAGACTTGTGACCCCTCGCTTCCTAAATGAGTGTTGTAAGTATTTTAATATTATTATTGCTTACAGCTACATTTAGATTTGTCCTTTAAGCACACATTGAAACATTTATCAGACTTGTTGCATGTTTTGTTAGCAATTTTAAGTATTTTCAGGTACAATATCTGCCCTCAATTCTAGTGGCTCATCAAAAAGCTACAGCTTTTGTCCACTGCTTAGTTTTCAGTCAATTTACTAAAACCATTAAAGAGTTCCAAAATATAAATACCACAAAGCTTAAAGGATTGCGTGTCGAGAGGAAAATGTATTTGATGTGGATCTTTAACATTATCCAATATATTCAATGGTGTCAGGAGTGTAATTAACAAATTCTGTTAAAGCAATTAAGCATGAGACCTCTGTTTTAAAATGTTAAAAAGAAAGTTTGTGCATTTGTGTGTTGTTGTGTGCGTGTGTGAAGTCTTACAGCAGTATCCAGAGAGTTGTGACTGCATACAAACAGATGTCGAGTGTGTAGAGGCCAATCTCCAGGACGTTCCTCTGCTCTCTCCAAACGTTACCTTGCTGTAAGTGTGCCCTGACTGTCTCTGTTTTGTCTTTGAAATTCAGCCTGTATGTTTCGGGAACACACATCACTTAGCCTAATTGCTCGCATTAAATTACGCGGATTAGAATTAGATTGGATTTGAGTTAACAATTGAGCCTTTGTGACCCCCAAATTCTTACATATCCCATGTTCTCAGGATTATCTAGGTGGAGGCTTGGTATTTAGTCCTGGATATTAAGTTACCATCAGAACAGTTGATTTTCTAATTTAATTTCCAATTTTATGTAAGTAATGCATCTGATTTCACACTTATCAAAATGGGGGAGGATTTTCTTTTCTGAAAGATGAAAGAACCATTGAAAGACTCACTTGAGTCTAGATTCCATGACTGCTTTCAGAATAATGATAGCATTATCTTTTTGCTTGATTTATTTTTGTGTCAGAGAGATGTTTCCTCTGATTTGGCTTTTATATCTCCAACATTTCCAGGAACAGCAGGGCAGCAAAGACAGGCTTTCTTTTATTGCTAAAAAAGCCTAATGCAGAGCTTGATGTCATCCTGGTTTGTTTACAGAAAGAGAGGACAGTTTGACATGTGGTTTACTTATTTGTTTGTTTATGCATTTAGCAGATGCTTCTATCCAAAGCGGCGTACAAAGTAGAACATATATTTGTGTATCTCCCCGTCGGGGAATCGAACCTCGGTCTCCTGCGGGGACACTCACCACTAAACCAACCGCCATTTAGTTTGTGTTTGCCAACCATTTTTATTCACCCTCATCATGGCACCATTATGTTGGTGCAGGTGGCTATAAATAGACTATTGTGTGTTTAAAAGACAGCCAGACCAGCTGCCCCCGGCTTCCAGAATGTTTAACTCAGTTGAATAGTATTTTAATAATGCATATAGGGAAAACTAGTGCCTATGGAAATAGGAAAGGCATTTACAGGTTTCAGAATAACATATGCCGCTTTCCAAATAATGTCTTCAAAAGGCCTTATAAAAATTCAAGACTATGAATCAGAGTGTATTTGATATGTTTTTGTGAAAAGTTAATGGCATTTGAAAATAATTGTACTTTACATAAAATCTTACTTGTGCTAAAAAAGAAGATTTGTGTTTATTGAGTAAATTGAGGTCTCTCTTTATATTAGTTGCGTATTGACCAGAAATGTGATTTATAGATGCTGTCTTCACTATCAAAGATGTCCAGTTCAAGTAGCTTGACAAAAAACAACCCTTTTCATAATAAATCCCACCCGTAGGCGTCCACTTCTTCCATTCTACAATTACAAAGGCAAAGGTCCTTGATCTCTTTTTAGTCAGTGATCACGTCACCTGCCTGTGAGCTGAATGAATACAGCCTCAATGGTCAGTTTCTGATCTAATAGGAAGTATAAGAGCTTCTAATTGTGCTCTTTGGCCGGTCCTTACTCTGAGTTGCCCCTCATATGACCAACAGTGCCCATCCAGGTCTATTTTCTCCTGTCATGATCTATGATTTGATTGATTCTGTTTCCAGTCTCATTTTTCCACGTGTTCCACTGACATTTTGCCTCCTAAATCACTTAGATAATCCATAATCATTATTGTATTATCTCTGCTAGATGTTCCTTGTTAGGTTGTGGTTATGAGTCAAGTAATTTTAACTGGACACACTTCAGACATTTTTAGAGAAGCGACACCAACATTACAAATAAATTACCAGTCTTCTGTAAAGATTTAGGACCCATTGCAGCCGGTTGACTTTAAAGTTAATATTGTAACTCGGGAAGATTACTTCATTCCTCATTATTGCCCCGCTTTATTTCCATCACCCAAGTGTGTTGAGCTTTTAACAATTTTTTTTCTCATTTAGTGCTGTAATCAGTTGTCCGCTTATTTTTTAATGTGCAATGTTGTTTCTAAAATTTACCAACACCCGGTCAATTTTTGTAGATCAGTAACTGGGAATAATTTAACTTTTAAACCATCGCCTCCTGTTTATGGTCATGTAACTGCCACTTTAGTCAAAGAGAGAAACAAACAGTGAATAGTCACAATCAGTGAATATTGTATCTTTCATAAGATACTACATAATCTGCCACATTTTTATTCCATTACTCAAAGACAGCACAGCTAAGTCTAAAGGGATCACTCATCCTCCAGACTCCCCAGATGCAAATCTGATCCTATCTGTGGGAGGAAAACTCTGTCCACAAATACCACAGACCAAAGTCGGTTTGAAGGCAGAAGTGGACGAATGATTCTAACATTATTTAAAACAAAAATATAGGAGAACTTCAAAATGATTCAAACTAATTTTTTGTTTCATCAACTTAAAGAGTAGAACTGCAGATATTGTTCCAAAGGCGTCTATCTCTTGCCTGTACTCAGTGATTACGCTGCGTTACAGTGTCACCTTCCCACTGATTAGAGGCAAAAAAAAAAACTTGTGTAGATTTTACTTTTGACTATCCTTCTAAAAACACAGCCTTTATGGAACACATTCTGGTTTTCCACAGAGCTGGAATTTTGTTATGACTGAATGTATCTTTACCTGTGTCTGATTGGAATTTTTCCTTAGCTGAACTGACCTTGGCTTTCAGTTCTTGTAAAAGGCAAAAATATATCCTTTTGCAAACTAATCATCAGTCCCTCCGATTTTGCTCTCCTTTTCTTGGTCAGTATGGGCTTTCTAAGAGAGAAAAGGAGAAGCATTTTACTGGAGGGACTGATAACTACAAAGAGACTGCCTCAGCCCGAGACTAAAGGGGAGCAAGTCTTTAGATAAATGCATGAGAAATGTGTTTTTCATCGGATGCTGAACAGTACAATACTCTAGAAAAATGTGTTGATGTCCTCCTTAAACTCATCTTGGCCTCCATAAATATTTGCATTTTTACAATTCCAGGCCCATTACTTACGAAATATCGTAATAATCATTGAGCTGCCGGGGAAGAGACTTACTGACTGACTGACTGACTGACTGATCAGCAGTCCCTCTTCATTTATAGAACTACAACTACAAAAAGACATTGATTTTCTATTAAAAAAATGATGATTTCCATCCTTTACTGAGCTGGTTACCTTATGGTACCTAGAGGCCGATGAGTATCTTTTAACTATGAAGGGCTAAACATTCAAGTGAACATCCATCCATCCATCCACCCATCACTGATTCAAACAACTTTTTTAACAAAACAAACAAACAAAGGAACATTCTTGTTCATGATGTTTAAAAAGCATCCGAGCATGCTGACTCCGTGTCATTGTTCAGCTTATTTAGTTATCAATCTATTTAGTTGTTTCCCATTTTGTAAAGTGCTTTAGAAGCGCAGATCTTTCTCAACATCTCTCAACACTGTGTGTGCAGATTAAACTGTATTTAGTGGAAGGGCTTCCGTTGATCATTTAGAAAATTAGAGCTGTCTCTGCTGTCTTTGCTGCTACTGCAGGAAACTTCTCTACAACAGACACAAAGGAATTTAGTCCTATAAGAGATTCTTGCAAACAAGCTGTTTGAGTTGAATTAATCTGACTTTCGCTCTGACAAATTATTTTTCGTCTAATGTGATGTCCAGAAGAATATTTTAAAAGCCATTTCCTCTTAAAGCGGAATTTTCTGTCACTTCGTAAAGTAAACGGTGCTCTCAGCCTTTCTGTGTGAATGTCAGCTGTTCCATGCCCTTCATTCTGGATTTGTGTTGCAGGTCTCTGAGGAGCAATAAGATCCAAGTATTGTCAGATTTTGTCTTCTCAAAATATTCGTCACTCGAAAGACTGTGAGTATTGTGACCGTCAAAACACAGAAAAAACTTGTTTGGTTTTGTGCAGTTCTACTTTCGGAAGAGGGAAGTTGATATGTGCTCAGATTCTGATTTACAGCAAGAGAGAAATTTAACATCACGTGTTCATGCTGCTCAGGATAATACACAGAATTGGTCTGACTTTGAAGGGGAATTTAGGTCGGAATCCCTCTTTTTACTTTGACCCTTTTCTTACAACAGATCATGCCAGTCTTACTTTCTCAAATGTGACTTTAACTAAACAGTCAAACTTGAGAAACTGCTCTGATTTAACTGATGACTCTATTTAGATGGTATTATATTGCATGAATGGCTAAAGTCACTGTAGTTACACTTAGTTGCAGCATCAGTGTTTCCATTTGCCTTGAAACGGCATGACGACATAATGTGTTCTATAATTATTCACAAAGACTGGCATAGGGTGTAATGTTTTTATTGAGTTGCCTAATGCAAAGCATGGCTGTTTTGAGCTTAATTGGAAACACATCGCTTGCAGTGGAAAAAGTTGTTTTCATGTAAGCTTTATTGTAAAAGCTGTAACTTTTTAAATGAGAAAAAATATGTCAATAGTTAACCACAAACTACATGAAAATGTGAAAGTATTTGCATTATCTGTAACCTAACATGATTTGGTATGAATAACACCATCATTTACAACAACCTGGTAGTTCACTAAGATTCAGACCTTTTTGAGTCTCATATTACACTTGGTGTAATAGGTGTTTTTAAATTCAGTTCAGAGGCTAAAGAGTTAAGCATAAATAGGTTGAAAATAAGAGTTGTGCTTATATTTAGTTTTAATCCCAGGGTTTAAAAATAAAGAAAATAACTTTTAAATTTGTACCACTGCTTTCAATTTGTTATGATAATTTTGTTATCTATTGGGGAAACTTGTTAAAGCTCATTATCCTGCCCCAACTGCTCCTAAATAATAAAATGGGTCATTGTTTAAACGTTGTATATTTTTTCCCAATCAGGTGTCTTTCTCACCTTTAACTTTTGGTTTGCATGTAAGAGCAGAACATAAATATTGACAGGGCTCCATTTCTATTCTCTGTTCTCAGATTTCTACAGAACAATAGCCTTCAGTTCATCTCAAAACATTCCTTCAGTGGCCTGTACAATTTAAAGAAGTTGTAAGTACTCCAGTGTTATTATTCCCTGAAAAGCCATGTGGATTTAATTTCTTTGACTTGTTATCTTTCAACTGCCCAATGAAAAGTGCAGGCAGAAAGCTGTTTTTATTTATTCCTTCTTTTTTACATTGATTAGCTCAGCATGTAACACTACTGTGTGCTTCCAATCATAAATGTAGATTCTGAAGTGGAAATCTTCGGTTTATCGAAATATGGTTATTTCTTATAACCACAGAAAGTTCAGATTTACCTAATCTTACCTCACCACCAGATTAGGAGGAGTTGTTTTTAGCAACAGTAAAACGCCCTAGATTTTTTGCTCTGATAAATACAATCCAGAGGCAAAACTGAATTGAATTTTGGTTCATGCTTAAATGCCACAAATCAACTGCATGCACTCTATCCATTTTCTGTTCAAATCAAATTAATCTTAATGAAAAACTTCTGTCTATGTTATTTAAAGTTATTATCAACCAGCCAAATCGTCATTTGTTATTTCTTAGGATATTGAGCAGAATCCCTGAGTAGGGCTTTAATGTGTCCCTTCTGTGTGCATTTTCTAGGTTTCTCAGTGAGAATTTAATAGCCTCTCTGGGTCCTGGTGTGTTCAGGGATCTGAATCAGTTGGAGTGGCTGTGAGTAACACACACATTTGTACCCCTGGGCCACATTCACTCACTTTTACACGCACATGATTGTATTCAAGTTCCTGCTTTATTAAGTCTAATCTGATTATATCCAGTGTTACTGTAAACATAGATAATAGAGACTTGTGATTGAAACATTTAGGACTATATTTTAAGATCCAATACTTTATGCAGTTATGTCCTTTGAGAGATGGCAATGATCTGTTTTAGATTAAACCTTCATAAGATTTGTGGTTTAGGAAACCTCGTGGAAGCTTAATACCCCTGATGCTCTTAAATTTATTTTCATTTAATTTCCTCCTGAAGTTAAAAAAAGAAGAGGAAAAAAATCACAAACCATTGATTGAAACTGGAGCTAATGATATGAATGAATTTTTGTCCTGGGACTCTTATTCTCAACTTGATCTTTCGACTAATTGTAGAAGGATCAAGCATCAGTCACTCAAGCATCAGCCTCCATGAAAACATTTTGACCAACTACACAGCAGCTGATCCTATTCTCTGACAAACTAAAAACTTGTCTGACAACCCCAGTTCCAAAAAAGACTTAGAAACAATTATTGATTGAAAAAAAATCTAAACAACCAACATTTTTCCACATTGGAACAGATTAAACATATCGCATTTTAAATATCAGACATTTTACCGTCTCAATTTGAATTTGAGTGGTTCTAAAAACGAACAGCTGGAGGACCATGTTGCAACTAATGAGATTAATTGACAACACACCGATGACATGGTTGGGTATAAAAAGCTGGGAAGAGTTCTTCCTGCAATCCATTAAATGCATCTGGGACAGCAATTTCAGAAAAATATTCCTCATTATGAAATTCCAAATAAATGTAGTATTTTACCAACATCTACCACACAAAATATTTCCAAAAAGATGAAGAAAATGTGATGATATTCTCTTTGATATTGGATGACGGTGTTCTGTGGGCCCTCAGGCAGCAATGCTGTGGATATCTCTGCATGAGCTCGGGCTCGCTCCCAAAATTTACCGACTGTGAAGATAGTTCGCTTTGCATCCAGAAAGCCCTGTGAACTCGATCCATGTCTTCTTTGAATCAAAACTAATTTCAGATAAAGTATGGCAAAGTGGAAGGCTGAAATGGAAAATGAATTATGGAAATCATGGAAGATAATGTTCTTCGATATGAATAGAATAAGGACCATCCAGCTTGTAATGAGCACAAAATTCTGCACTTTAGTTGGTCATGGAGGAGATTTAGTACCCCAGGAACAGTCCAGTTCCTCATCTGGAAAGGTATCATAAATACTGAAATACTGATGCAGACTTTAGTGCGATAAATGGTCTCGTCTTGACAAAAATATTTTTTATTAAAGGCCCTAAATCACATTCTACATGTGCTGCACTGGCCTGCCTGCATTCCAGGCTTTTGGCCAGTCAAAGAACAATTGGAAAATCCTGATATCTTCTGGTCTCATCAGTCAATAGAATTCTATATCAGACATACCTTTGAGGTCCAAGATGTGTTTTCTTCAGCTCTCTGATGTTTGCACACTTGGTGATAGAAGAAAAGGGGACTTTACATAAATGTAAGCATGTCCCATTCCAGCATTTATTTTTGCGCCCATCAAATTATTGATTGACTAATTTGTCATGAACCAGTAAATGAAAATAAATGTTGTGCCTTCATTAATTGATATGTTCACTATTTTCTGCTGTGAATAAAGTATGTACTGTATCTTAAGTCCATCCTATTATTCAGACTTAACACAGGTTTTCAATATTTCTGATGGGGAGTCTTGATGTTTTCAGTTAGCTGCTTCGTAAAAGTAGAGATTCGTTTTAAGGTTTTCCCAAAGTGTTAAAAATCCCTTGAATAAATACAAATGTCTGAAATACTGAGGTTTATTTTTTCCATGCCAGAATGTTGGATCATAACCCACTAAGCAGTTTGTCCCAGGATACCTTCGTTGGACTGCATTCTCTCATGTATCTGTGAGTTTGCTTTTTGATTTATTCTTCTGTAATTGTTGTGTGTGTATTTCACATCTCAAATATTGTGAATTGTCTGGCTTAGACATAGAATAGCATGAGAGTTGCATGCACAGTTTTGTTTATGCATTCTGTTAACAAATTTCAAAATATATAACAGATTGTATTTCATTTGTTGGAAAATGTATGCTGTACACTTGAGGGGACATCTGGAAAAAAATATATTCTGTAATCCTAAAGAAAAAAAAACACTGGGAAAAATCCTGACTGATATGATCATAATTCATGGCAGGGATAACTCAAAGAGAAAAAAGTTGCTCTTTATCTTTGATTTAGGAGATGAATGCTCATGACTGAATGCTGATGTGACAGTCACATTGTACTCCTGTTGAAACAGTGCCTGATAGCTCCACAAAAAAAGGTTGATTTGACTCCAACATGTGACCAATTATATGCACTTTGACAATAAGAAAAGTGGTTGTAGTGTTTCTTTTTTTAATTTGAGCTGAAGACATAGTGTCAGTGGAGTGACAGCTCGTTTTTCTTTTTAACCTCTGTCTTCTCCACAGATCCATGGTGCACACCTCATTACAGCAGCTTCCTCATCCGAGCTTCTGTCAGCACATGCCCACGTTGGACTGGCTGTGAGTCTGCTCTGACAGTGTACTTGTGTGTATGCAGGTGTGTAGTGCATGTGGGTGTTGGATTAAGTCGATTTTTGTGCACCAAAGACGATGCTAGTAGTGTGGATGTGTGTCTGTGCTTGTGTACTTAAAAGCAAATAAGACCAGCAGATAGGAGTGACAGATAAAGATTACATAGCTGACATTTTTGATGAGCCCTGCTCCTGACTGAGAGGTGTCCTCAGTTGCTGTCACTGTGACCGGTCAACTTGACCAGCTTTTTGTGGGTTGTGCAGTTTGGAGGGTCCCTGCAGGATGAGTATGACACTCGATATAACCTTGTGTGCTGCTTTTACGCTTGTGTTTTGGAAGCATGTCCCTGCTAAGGTCTAAGGTCTCCAACTCAGTCATCTTAATCAAAGTCCGTCTTGCAGACACAAGTTTTATGCATCCTTTTTCCGCTTTGTTCAATACTCATAACATGAGAGGTGCAAAAGCTTTTGAAATCCAGATGCATTATATTTGCTTCAGAACCCCTGATGAGTCTTGAAGAGCTTCTGATGCAGGTGTCCTTTGTCTCTTCATTTATGCTCTCAGTGATCTTGAAGGGAACCAGATTCAAACTCTAAACTACTCTATCTTGAAGACGTGCAGCAAACTTGAAGTATTGTAAGTACAAGAATTCCAAATGTAACGAAAAGGAAAGCCGCTTTCACGCACACATAGTGTAAGCACTGGAGTCCTAAAATTATTTTGAGGCATTCAGTAATGGTGTCAACACACAGGATTCCCCCCGAGCCCTCTTTTAAACTGTCCTGAACAAACAGTTAGAGAGAGAATTTATGAATGTACTAGCAAGTGTTAAGGAGCATTTGGTGGCCTTTTGTGAATGAGTATGTGTTTGCTCAGAAGAGTTTGCACTTCCCACAGACCCATATGCCCACTTCTGCTCACTCCGCTTCTGGCAATATGTACCGACACATGCAGTTTCCCATCAGCACAATAGCACACTTCAGTGTTTCTCCACACACGCTACCTTACATTTCTAGTCAAGGGAAGGCTGTGGAGCACATCTGTAAATAGCTATGTGGGGAAAAGTCTAGACAAAATTCACATTCCTCTCTGCAGTCTTAACATGAGAAAAGAGTTTCATTGCTTGAGACGCAAATGTAAATTTTTTTGTTTTTGTTTCAGCTATTGCCATCTGTCCTCATAGAGCGCTACTTGTATAAATTGATTTGGAACATTTTAATCAGCAAAGGAATGACACAAATGGATCTAATGAGAAACTCTAAATCCAATAGTCTTCATACTTACTCCTTGTCAGTATTTTTGCCTTTCAAGTTGCAGTATTCCTCGGAAATAACATCTATTTCCCTCACATAAGCATTGATGTCTTTCTATTTTTCTGAGATGATATTCTAATATTGTGCACATTGAAACAGCCTCAATTGCTATGAGAGACAGTATATGCAGTTTCACTATAAAAACAACTACATTTTTGTGATCAAATGCCTCTGCTGTGTATCTGCACAGTAATATGTGCAGATTGAATTGAAAAAAAGAACTCTCAGTCTGGGCACATACAATTTTTTTCAAAAGCATTGCCATGTAGCAATACACTTTCTCAGGTGTTGCTTATCATTGGAGACCTACTTAAAGGCTGCATGCAGGATGAACACAGTCTGACTTCGGTGATCCTGCTCTCTTTTAAAATAGAAGCTGGTCACATACAGTTTACTCTTTGTGATTTTCCATGTGTTGCTTGATTTTAGAGATAAGATTAGTTTTCATTAAAACTATTTAATGCAGTAGCCCTTTATCTTAATTTCAGTCTTTCCTTCCTTCGCATTTGCAGACCCACATAAAAACACAAAAACACATCCTCAGTTGCTTATTTTAGAGTAAAAATGGGTCAAACTGTATCCATTCTACAAGTTCTCCAAACACAAGATGGTTTATGAAAACAGATCTATCCTGCACAGATTGCTGATGGACAACCGGATCAGCAGAGTTCCTGAAAACACCTTCCAGTCTCTGTGGAAACTCGCTGAACTGTACGTAACAGCTGGTTAGTCAGTGCCTTTTGGTGTAACTAATAACACCAAACACATCATAAACAGCTGATAATAATGTATATTTGGAAAATTCAGTTCTTTCATTAGAGATGGCGTTTCTATGTGTGTAAAGAAATAGAAAATAAAAACAGAATTAAACCAAATATGGCTGTGTTGAGAAGATGTTTAAACGTCTTCTTGATGATAGAAGACGTTTCAACATCTTCTCAACAACAGTCTACATGTTTCTCAGCTAAAATGATGAGCTTTCCCTAATCTAAAGAACTTGATTTCATGCAAAAATAAGATGTTCATGCTTTAAATGTACAACTTCTCTTCTTGTCTGTGCTGCCAGCAACTAGTTCTGAATGTGCAGTTTAAAAGTCCCACGGACGAATCTGCAACTTGAATGTTTTTTTTATCCTGTTAAGGAATCTGTCCAGTAACAGACTCAGGGAGCTGCCAAAGGACACGTTTAAGAATCTTTCCAAGTCCCTCCTGAAACTGTAAGTAACTGACATATAATGTGACCCAGATCGAAGGTGTTTTTATCTCATATGTGCGAAAGTGGATAAGGATTAAGTAGTGTGTTTCAAGTGGAAAAATTTTCTTTTAAGTGTCAAGGTAAGATTTATGCAACATGTCATCTACTGGAAATACAAGTTAAGAGTATTTGAGGAGAGTATAATAGTTTTTCCTGAAGTGAAGACAGCAATAAAGAAGTCTTATATCAAAACAACATGAGAAAAGTCATGACACTGGATTAGACAAAAGATCTGGGAAAAAGACAGGGAACTAAAATTGCCAAACCTCCATCAAAACCAGGCTGGGAACAATTTTGTGTTCTTCTGTTAGAGGAACAGGTCATGCTAGATTTTAAAGCCCTGGATACATATTCATTAAAGGAAACCAGTTAAGAAAATTGTGGTCTTATTTCTGTTGCTGATTTGGTTATTGGGTTAATCTACATGCTATTCATTTTTCAGCTCCGTGGGGAGAAAATAAAGTACTAAAATGACAAACAGTATTACATCTCACTATGATGACCATTACTGTTTTTGCCAATCCCTTGGTCTTGTTGCAGAAACATATCATACAATCCAGTTCGCATTTACCCAAGCCACTTCAACCACCTGACACATCTTCAGTCTCTGTAAGTATGTGTGCTTTTCCTTTCTGGAGAACCTTCCCTGACTCAAAGCATTCATTTGTCAAAAAACCTGTAATACTGATTGGTTTTAATTATTGTCGAGAAGTGAGATTCAATTAAAATATCTTTTTAACAGTCACTGATGTCAGTGACTGTACAGGGAAGCAGCAGCAGATTGTCTGTGCAGTCTGACATCAACTATTTTCACTACAGGGCTCTGGAAGGTATTGAGATCCCAGATATTCAGACAAAGATGTTTCTTCCAATGAAAAACCTGTCCCACATGTACGTGTTTAGTCAGTGACAAAATATATCAGCAAAATAATAGCTTGTTTTCTACAACCTCTGTAAGTCTTTGTCTAACTTGTTTCCCACTGTTTTCCCTGCTACCATCTTTGTATCCTGATGTTTATGACTTATACCAGATACTTTAAGAAGTTCCAGTACTGCTCGTATGCACCTCACGTCAGGTCCTGCAAGCCCAACACAGATGGCATTTCATCATTTGAAGATCTACTGGCTAACGTAGTGCTGCGGGTGTCTGTCTGGGTCATGGCATTTATAACTTGCTTTGGTAATCTCTTAGTCATCGGCATGAGATCTTTGATTCGTGCAGAGAACAACCTGCATGCCGCCTGCATCAAAGTCCTCTGCTGTGAGTAACCACACACCCCTACACACCCCCTACAGATACCCTGTTTGCAAAAGCAAGCACATAATAGTACATCCGATTTTGCATGTAGGATTTAGGATCAATAAACAAATCAATATATCAAAATGCCAGCTTGGTAAAATTGTGTAAAAAAAATATTCCTTTAGAATTTACTTTGAAGGAACATTCTAGAAACAATGTAGGGCATTTTAGAAACTTCTTTAAGCAGTTATGGGATTGAAGATTGTTGCACAACAAACCCTGTTTGAGCCCTGTGCATGCAAAGCCTTATATCATAAGAAAAATCAAAAGGAGCAACGTACTTTTTTGTCATGACAAAAATCTGATTGCATGTTTTCATGTTTTTCTAAGTTTATTTTCAATACATGTTTTTTTTTCTGTTTTAGGTATTAGAGGATAATGAATATGTTGTGTGTTTTAAAACGCGGTGCCATGTAATGCAAAAGTGCATTTTGAAATGCTGCAAAGTTCTAAGACTCAAAACGTCTTTACATGGGGACAATGTTTTATGTTAGTGTAAAACACAAGTACGGTGGCACGGCAATGCTTCATTTGTGAAACAGACTGTTACTACAAGTTAACCCCTTTATTTTCAAACTGTTAATATATAACTTGATGTGGTGACCCATTCTAGTGTTGCTTGAGATGGGCAACATAACTGGCATACTACTACAAGACATTATGACATCTTACATAGCATACAAGCAAAACTCAAAAAAACTTAAAAAGCATGATTTTGGATCTTGGTAGTTTTATATAGATGATCATTTTTAATGCCTTAGGCCTGTTATCCTTGCAATAACAGTTTGATTGCAAGCACGAATTTAAATCTACAAATCTCCAATACAATGGCTGTGAAAGAATGTGTTAGCTATCCGAATCAATGGCCAAACCTCAAAACACTGAAATACTGTGGAAGGGATTCAAGGGAGTGATCTATCCAAACATCCATTTAGTCTTTAACTAAAAATATGTTAGTCTTTAGTGAAATAAAGCATCAGGGAAAACAAAAGTGCCCCATTTATCACTTTGCAAGTGCTTCCTGTGTCTGTACAGCAAGACTGCTGTAATGAACCCTGAGGGGGAAAGCGTAATAAAAGTGTTTGAGGACATCCCGTCCTAGCCCTCCAAGCAGTAATCCCACAGGTCCCCATTCAATAACATTTGTCAGGCAGAATGCCAGGGAGACCACTGTAAAAACAGGCCAGTGGATAACTCTTTTTGGGCAATGTCTTAGGTGTGATATGTGTTTCAATCAATTCAACATGCATAACAAATTTCAGTAATTACGATCAGACAGCAGGCCTATAAAATGCTTATTCCAGGATTTCATGTTTCTGACATAGAATGGTTGCAGTATTAAAAAAAAGTTTTTCATACTTATCAGCCTGTACCAGTATTGTAAAAATCAGGAATTTGCATGTATTTTTCTGTTCTTTGTCTTTCATTGAGATGGATCTTGGCTGTACAGTATAATCTTTACAAAGGACATTGAAATAATCAAAATTTGGGTAAAGATACTGATCACATCCCTTGAGGGGAGACCTTCATTGGTTAATATATGCAAAGGTTTTTGGTTGCTTACTTTAATTCCCCTCTCCAAATGTGTTTGCTTACAGTTTTTTCCTTTTTTACATTTTTTAAAACAATTTTCTGTACACATTGCCAGTTATAACACATCTTTTCGAGAAACAAAGACATGTGTTGGAGCAAGAAAACACATCATTTGTTCTCTGGGGCTTATTTAAAGTACTCCATTAATTAGTTTTTGACTGCCGTTTAAGTCTATCTCATTATTCTTGTTCTGAGTCATATTTGAACTTTTTTATGTGCTGCAATAATATCTCCCTGTCACTCATCCTCTTTGCACCAGTTACCTTTGTAATTTGCACATAATACATTAATCATGACAGCGGTTATCAGCTCCTGCAACCTTTTAACCCTGAATTTAAATGAGAGTTTAGAAAATGGGTGAATATAAATAACATCCTTCCACCTTGTACCTGTTCACTTAACTGTCGTTCATTTAGATCCTTTTAAACAATATTGACTCTTGAACCCCAACAGAAAGAATAGTTTTATATTAAATGTCTTATCATGCAGCCTTTGAGAACAATTTGGAAAACTAAAATGATTCTCAATCCACCAAAAAATCTATATTAGCATATGTTTTCTTGCCCAAACAACTCAGAAAGACCTACATGCAGGTGTTTACCCCATCTTGTAAGTGGACATAATGCAATGTTTTGTGTTTTAAAATGGGAAATATCTGGTTTTGTGACAGTTGACATATGAACTTAACTTTTACACAGAACATTTCTCTGTAAATAGGTTCCTTTGTGTCCGTTATCATCTAGGTGCAGACTGCCTCATGGGTGTTTATCTTTTTTTTGTTGGGGTTTTTGATCTGAAGTACCGTGGACAGTACAATAGCAAAGCCCTGCTGTGGATGGACAGCATGGAGTGCCGCACCATTGGATTTCTGGCCATGCTCTCCACAGAGGTTTGTTAATAACATGTACATACAACACAAACTGTTCTATTTACAACTATCTGCAATAACTGACCCACTGGTGGGACATTGTTTGCAAAGAGATCTAATAATTACATTGATCTTGTTCAAGCTGCTTTTTATGTTAAAGAAACTACAGTTAAGGATTCATGGTCTACTGACGCTAAATATAACTTTTTGCTAGTCATGATGTGTAGTTGGAAGACAGGACTCAAATGCATGAAGAATATGAATGCAGCTGGATAAAAAACAAAATTACTTTATTTAACTAATGAGCTGGACTAACTCATGGTGCTGTAGGCCAGGCACTTGCAAGAAAAGAATAATCAAACTTCTCAAACAAATAGGTACAGTCATTTGGCAAAAAACAAAAACAAATCAAATCAAGCAGTATATGTGAAAGGTAGAAAACTAGAGGTATGCCTCTTTAAAAAAAATGTTTTTATTGATTTATTACTTATTCATACATATTCAAGGATGCTGGCAACACTGACTGAGTATTGTTCCAAGATCTTTGGCTAAAGTTGTGCGAAGCACCAGTGATGAAAGAGTCAGCCATCAAGAAAACATGACCTTGAGATTTTATTAGAAAGGAAAGCTGACTCAATTATTGTTGCCGTTTACTTATCGTAAGTGATTTCTTCCAGGTGTCCGTCCTTCTCCTGACCTACTTGACTCTTGAGAAATTCCTGGTCATTGTCTTCCCCTTCAGCAATCTGCGCCCCGGCAAACTTCAGACAGCGGTGAGTCATCCCATCTTACTCTAAGAGAAATGAATATCTCATTTCTTGTGCTATTTATAAACTGTCCTGCATCTGCTCTATGTTCTCTGCTTTCTTTGGATCAGTGAATTTCCTCATCTTGCAAAATGTTACATTTAATTGAAGACCCAATTAGACACTGCCATAGCACTGGTGAGCCATCCATGGTATGCCCTCCCTGACATCCAGTGCCTGCTGGGATAGGCTTAAGCGTCGCTGATACCCTGAATTATATGGATGGTGTTTATAAAATGGATTGATGAGCCACGGTTTTATGAAACTGTCACAACACAAAATTAATACAACGCTTGATAAATTAATAGGCCAATTTGTAAATTTTGCAAAAATGTACAAACAATAATTGGTAGTGAGTTTTTCTCTGCACGAAGGACTTGAAAAAAACTATCAGACACCTGCAATGACTATGGGAACAGACATACTTTGGTTATGAAAATGACTGTTACGGGGCAACCATTAAGACTTAATTTCAAAAGGCGGCATCTCAGATGGTCTTCAGGGCATTAGTTCTTGGGTATCTGATAATACAGATAGAGCCGTATTCTCCCCCATTTAAACTATTTAAGAGATGTGCATATGGTACACCACTTTATGCATCTATTTCACAGTAAATTAGCCCAGCCACTACTAACAATGAAGTCTCCAGACTGTTGAACAGCTACAATCATGTCTGACTTGAAAGTGACAGGTGTTTTTTTTTTCTTTCCCAGATATTTTTGGACTTAAAAGAAGTGTGAATACTACATAGTGGTAAAGATTATCATGTCCCATGTTTTTTAAGACATTTGCTTGATCAAAATCCCGATTGAATAATAAAACAGTGAAATGTCCCATTTTAACATTTTCAATGTTTAATATTTTCCTCAAAGTCCCAGAATTTATTGAAGTGGTGTTGTTATATTTCTCTAAAAAATAGAGTGTCTGTCACTAAGCTTTACCAATGCTGCTTGTGTTCTCCAGGCAAAGAGAGAGCCAGACATATCAGTCAATAGAAAATGACCATATACTGGATGTTTGGAGTCTGCTTGAGCTGATTAAATGTCTGTGAGAAAGTGGAGATTCAGTGAGTCATGAATCTCAGCATGGCATTTTAAGACCTCTCTATCAGAAATCTAAATGGTATCTGTGTTGTTCTGCTTCAAGGTGGTCCTGTCTTCTATCTGGCTGATGGGATTCATTATTGCTGCTGTGCCTCTTATGAATGAAGAGGTCTTCGGGAACTACTATGGACGTAATGGGGTGTGCTTTCCACTGCACTCAGACAGGCAAGAAAACCCTACTGCCAGAGGATATTCCACAGGGATTTTTCTAGGTAAATTGAAAAAAAAACAAACACCCTTTTTCTCCCTGAAAACTAAAACTTGGACCTGCAGGATTTCCACGTTGTCTTAGAATATGTTGTGGAACACATTTTTTGTTTTAGCCTGTTTAGCCTGAATCCAACGGTATTGGCTTTGATTCTTCTCTGTGTTCCAGTAAAACTAAATAACTGTCTATCTCAGACTTGGCTAATACACACTCAAAAAGTATGACTCTTTCAACTATGCCCAGTTAGCCTGGGCTCTCATTACTCAGTGCTCTGTCTGAGCTCCATTCTGAAACAATCATCTCTCTTAAAGTGTGCCAGCATTTCAGTCACTGAGACTTGGATGTTAATTACCACTGACATTTTAGTTCATGTTTAGTATTGATTTAATGCCCACCAACATGTTGCTGTTTGCACTCAGAGGGGCACAATCTGTTTCTGATGGTGGTCTTGGATATTTATTGGTGGCCTGATTGGTGGTGATGGAAACATTACATTCATGTGGAGAAGCACATTTTTATCAAACAGTAGGAGCAGCCACTCCATACAATTGAAAACCAAATGAAAACTGACCCAATTGAAGCTCTAAAACTGACTGTGGCCTGTAGATAGATATACTGTATAAGATTTATCTATTTTACAAGCCTGGATGGGCACAGACATCTCAGGTGAGTCGTGAAAAGCAGGTTTCCGCTCTGCTTCCATTGAATTGGTTATTTAAAAATGCCTTTAGTTTCTGCAGATTTGCAAACTTTCTTTTCAAGCTTTGCCATGAAAACATTTAGAAAATTAATCCAGCAGCATAGCTCAGTATTAAACCTCTGATTCCAAAAGTGTTTGACTGTGTATGTGTCTTGAATAAAGCAAAAGATACCTACACCTCTTTTGCTGATGATTTTGTTCAGTTGTATTTACAAATTGTAAAATGTATTGATGCTTCTTCTATCTGTGAAATTATGAGTATAAGTAGTTTGTGCATTCTCTTAGGTCTAAACTTGGTGGCATTCCTGGTGATCGTCTTCTCCTACTCCAGCATGTTCTATTCAATCTATAAAACCGGCATAAATGCAACAGATTTGAGGAGCAGACTGCACAGAGATGTGGCGGTGGCCAACAGGTTTTTCTTCATTGTGTTCTCTGATGCCCTCTGCTGGATTCCCATATTTTTAGTAAAAATTCTCTCACTGTTGGAGGTGGAGATACCAGGTAAGAACTTAAAAAAGCATGTTCTCAAACTGTTCAGACTGCTAAAATGTACTAATAAAAATGCATCAATTTGGAAAAGATTTACTGCTCATAAAGCCTAAAATGAAACATAAATGTAAAGCCACCTTTAAACTGCCAATTGACTGGCTTGTGCTTGCTCTTTTCAGGTACTATTTCGAGCTGGGTTGTCATTTTCATCCTTCCAATCAACAGTGCCTTGAACCCCATCCTGTACACCTTGACCACAAGTTTCTTTAGAGAGCAAGTGGAAGTTTTACTTTGTCGCTGGCAGAGAAGACACACCCTGAAGAAAGACCGGAAAAGCCTCACTTCCTCCACAATCTTTATGGAGACGTCGCGGCCCCCTTGCTGCCAGCCACCTGCCTACCTGCAGCAGGTTTCACTGATCGGGGCAGATCCTCGTTACGCCTGAAGGACATATATCCATATACTGTGCTGCTTTGTACACTACGGGTCTTGGGCCTAATCCTTGCTGCATTTTTAAACTCCCACATGACGTCAACGCTGTTTCAAGGGAACATTAGAGAGCTATCAAAACTCATTGTATAGTTTCATTGTGAGCTGACATTACTTCTAAAGGAGAAAGTAGCACTTTGAGGTCAAGAGTCTCACTCAAAGTTAACCCCTGTGTGTGGACATGGGAAGAAAGGACTTAAACCACCAATTAACCAGCTTGCAGATCATTCTCCAACGGCTACATCTATATTTACATGTGCATGTAAATATAAATGTGCATATGAATTTGGAATCCATTTTATGTATTTCTGTAAACCCTTAGGATGATCAGATAGGCCATGAAATAACAATATTGATAAACCTCAGATGGTATTTAAGATACTCTAGATTAATAATTTGGACAAAAGTTTCCCGTACTACACAGTGAAGTGAGAAATGTGTTAAAGGATAAATTACTTTTATTACAGAAGGCGAAAAAAGCACTAAGACTTGGATAGTCTAAATTTTAGCCTAAAACTTGGTTGAGGGAATTGAAATTCTGGCATAATGTGCATGAAAATGCAACTCTGCCTCTTTATTTTGTTCATTTGTCCTGTGCACCAAACCAATGTATATTTCAAATGCCAGCGCTTCAAGTTATTCTAGTTTTTTACGTATACATATTTAAATGCAAAGTGAAATTTAAAGCCGGTATGATTTTTCTATCTCTGACATAATTTGATGATAGAATTAGAATTAAATTTTCTTTTTGTTCTCTACGGGTACTCCGGCTTCCTCCCACCATCCAACAAAACCTGCATGTTAGGTTGTTTGGACATTCCAGATTGTCCTTAGGAGTGAGTGTGCATGGTTGTTTGCACGATTTGTGTGTCTCTGTGTGGCCCTACGATGAACTGGCAGGATGTACCTCTCGCCCATTGAATACTGAGAAAGGCTGCAGTTCCCCCATGACCCCATTTTGGAATAAGTGGTTCAGAAAAATGGATGGATGGATGGATTTTTTTTCTTTGATGCTATATGGCAAATTAACCGATCTGTTGAATTTATCTCACTCATTTCTTCAAATGTATTTCTGGCAGTGTTTTTTTTTGTCCTGTCTTGCATTTTCTCCTCCTTCAACAGTAATTGGGTTTCCAGGCCTAATGAGCTTTCCTGATTAGATTTCCCTTTGCACTGAAATGTGAAAGAAGCTGCAGAGGACAGTATGAATTCATCAGTATAGATGAGTGGGATCTATCAAAAATGTTCTTTAAACGTGTGATACTGATCAGTGTCATTTTCCATTGTTGTTTGTATATAGATGTGCTTTTTTTGCTATATTTATCTTGTAGCTATGTAACAAATATTATCTTACTTTTTGTGACATTTTGTAAGTCATCTGCAAGTACAGTATTTGTTCTGATTTGTCCTAGTCTTTTCCAGCATGACAACTAAAATTATTTTGTTGAGAATTACTTAAACACACAGAGTTCAATGAGTTTAGAGACATGTGGTGGTACCAAAACAACCCTCTCAAATGATCATATAAACTATTGTACCTTCTCTGTTATAAGTTTAAATTCCCCACTGCTGGACTTAGAACTGAAAAAGCCTTTAGGATGATAATGGAAATGTTTTCTAGATCCAAGAAGTCCAGGTGCGTGTAAACAGAATCTTAGAATACCTATGACCTGGATGTCTAAGAGTTTAAACGTACTTTTTAATGGTAAGTTGCAGCATATTTATTTGCTGTTGACCTTGTTTTTGGAAGTTGGATTGGATTGAAAGTTTTTTTTTTTTTTTTTAATGACACAGATGTGGACCTGACAACTTGGGCTGTACTGGTACTGTTTGTATCTCTTTGTATTAATCTGAATATTAATGAATGCATTAACTCGGTGACAGTCATACATTTACAATTTTACAGAGAAAGAATTGAAGAGTAAAAGATTCTTGGTTAAATGAAGGGTGCTGTAACTCTATAACCAAATAGGTCAAATTTCTACTGCTTTAGCAGCAGGACTTTAATATCTTCATGGTTTTCAGCCACGTCAAAATAAGGAGAACCCTCCTGTAATTGTCAATTCATGTGCCTGTATTTATTTCTGTTATATAAAATTTGGTAGGAAAAGCTGTCATGTCAGTGTATGTTGTATATGTTATGTTTTTTTTCTATTTGATCAATTGCTAGTGATTTTTTATTGGCTGTCTTGCATTTGACTGAAATAAAAAAACAGATAGAGAAAACATTAAATGAATCAAAGAAATTAGCTATTCTGTGCAAATGATCAACTATGTTGTCACTTGTAAATACTTTTCACAAATGTAATGCTATATTTATGTGGAAACAGTTGAAAACGTTTAGAACTTTTTATTATCGTAAAAAGCTGAACAATCCATTTGAACAAAGATAAAACACATTTCCACGTTAACTGTTGGCGTTTTAACCCAGAATGTCAATTGTGACTCCTGATTCCTCGACAATTGGTAGGAAAGAAAAAATAAATAAGGTAAATAAATTCCAGAATGACATGTTTTCTGTAGTACAGCTACAGCTCCTTAATCACGTTATTTTGGTCGCACCTGCGGCGCACAGCATCTTTCCTTAGCAGGTGTCCTGCCCTTGGACCAAGATGTGGCCGTCGTGAAACTTTGATGGACACGGCAACAAACCAATTGAAATCGCGTTCTGCCTCTATTCGGATTCCAATTGGTTGCTATGGGCGGGCCCCTGTCATCCCAAGCAGCGGCACTGTCAGCCAGGGCGGCACGACTCCTGGAGGAGAGAGACGAGACGGATTGATGAAAACAAGCCAGTGAACACAAACAAAGAACTTGTGCCAAGAAATGTCCGTATAGTGGCCAAACTCGACGCAGAAAAGGTACTGTTGAATTTAATTTTGAATTAGTGTTTTATTTCGTGGCTTTTTTCGGCGCTGTATGTTGGGCACAAAGACAGCCAACCAAATGCCTTCTTGTAATATCGATAGCAGCAATTACCAGGGCTTATACCGGCGGCTAGCCTGCTATGTAGCCAGAAGCTTAGCTGCTTTGAGTTATTTGTAGTTAATTTTAGACAATAAATAATGTGACTAAAATGAAAAAAACGCTGTCCTGTTTCCCTGGCAGCGCTCACTTAGCTAACAATACAGCGTTGCTTTGTGAGGCAGACCAGCCAAGCAACAGTCTTGGCGTTAACCGCACCGTAAATACACACTTCATGATGGCGGTGAACGATAACACTCTCCTGTTTGTTAGCTACCGGCTATACAGCTTCAACATTCAGTGAAGCCAATCTTCAGGCGTACAAACAAACCACAGGACGTCTGGTAGAGTAAAACAATCTGAAAGCTGCATGTGTCTGAAGCCATGTTTCTCCTACCATGTCTGCGCCTCTGGGAGATGATTGGGAATCCTGATTAATGTGTCTGGAGGATAAAACAGACTTCAGATAGTGACATTTAAGCTGGTTATATTGCAGGGATGTAGGTGATCCCAAATGCTCCGGGGTCAGCTTTGAGATGCTTTGAGAAAGAAAAGCATCTGTAACTTACATGCATTCACACTGATTTGAACCCACAACATGGTTGCATCACCATACATGTGGAATTATTGACATTTGTTTACATTTTTATTCAATAATTTCTGCATTACTACCCAGTTTTAGTTCCAGGTCTGCTCCTGGTTTAGGTCCACTACACTGTTTTGTTCTGCCCACCCTTTCTCCTTCCTCAAGACTCAGTCAAACCCCCTCTTCATCTCTCCAGCTGTTTGAGACAGCCAGTCTGCAACGGCGACCCACTTAACTCCATTGTTCTGTGTTGGGAGTTGCACACACAGACAGCTCGTCATGTTTTTCAGAATACTAAGGCCCTCTGACGTTCCCCTCAACCTTTCATCCAGCAGACCCTTTTGCAGGGAGTGCTGGGTATTTCTTCATTTATCTGGATTTTCAGCAGAGGATACTGTTACATGTAAGCAAAATGTCATTTTTACCAAAAGGATTTACTCTCAGATCCCTTGCATTTTATATTAAGTTTTTTTGGAACTTTTAAAAATCCATTTAAAGTAAAGATTCTTGACATTCCAGCATCAGGAGCCATTTCGGTGTCATGGACAATGCCTCTTTAATGAGAGACTCTGACCACATTTGTCCCTCCTGATACTAAAACGATCATGTGAACATAATTCAACCTGCACCGTTTGCTGGAAAAACTGTTGAATCGCACCCATTTTTAAGTGTGTGATTCTCTCTTTGAATTTATAGCCATACAGATCTCAGACAATTTATCACCATGTTCTTTTTGATGAACCAAAAAAGAAATACCCACATAACCAGCAGATTGTTTCTTGTATCTGCTAGATATCTTGTGACCTGTGTGGCAGAAATTAGCATGTACCAAGCTCAAAAAGTTTACTGGTTGGTCACATCATGTAAGAGCTCCAGTCTCAATTAGAAGATTTCCTGAATATTTTCTAAGGAATTGTTGAGGCAAACCACACTTTGTCCTCCCACTTTCTGAACTATATGTTATTGTTTCCATGGATACCACTGTGTACCTCACTCCTACTGGCTTACATAACTCGGTGTTTCTCCGAGATACTTCTATCCACACGCACACATTCCTTGCTGTCATATTCCTCCTCTGACTTTGCCCCAGGTGCTGTTCAGGTGGAGATAACTGCATGCCATGCATGTAATCATCTTGGAAATGTTGCTTCGAGGTTGGACTCTACAGTATTTTCGAGCTGTCTGTTAGAATAATTACACTTTCTTTTCGAGAATGCATTAATTTGACTTTGATTTCGTGGCATAGCTCCAACATACTTATGATGAGTATGTTCATTAAAGACTGCACAGATAGTCTTACATAACAGCCCTACATGTATGAAAAGGCTGATGGGCATGTTTGACTGTACTGTGTGTGCTTCCATAAATGAATAATAGCAGATTGTGCATTTGGGAGTGATGCGTGG